ATGAAAGATGAGAGCCATTGTTATTCCTTATCTCTGTACCTGCTCAATTTGTCTGTCTCAGAAAATGATTTTCCCCACCAGCTACACCTTGATTAGATTTAGGAGCTGAAGTCGGGATAAGTTGGTTACGATAAAATAAAATAAAAAAAAATGCTATATTTATAATATGCTGTATTCACCACACATACACCTGCATGGTTCTGAAGGGTTATCTCAGATACGTAAATCTATAAATGCTAGTAGTTCCTACAGTCAAAGGCACGACCGTTCCGGCATGTTGACACTTATATTCACATGTTCAGATAAACACGGAATCCAATTGAGGAACAATGCTGAAAGCTGTGCAGAAAAAAAAAAAGAAAAGAAAGAAGCATCCACCCCTAAAGCCAGTACACGTGTAGCCCTTTTGCACATTGAGTGACTTCTTTGCTGCTCTATCAAAAAGACCTATTCACAAACATGGCAACTACACAGCAGCAGAGAATGGAGCAAAGCTATTCCCGGAAAAATAATCTCCTAAAACCATTACAGGAAACAAGGTAGGTGCAGTAGCTGTGGGGAGGATTACTCTCCAACCCTCTAACACACACACACACACACACAGCCTACTGTGTATCATTATCTACCACAAAACTGTAAATGTGTGCATTGTGGGAAACGGTAACAGCGGCTTTTTGCACAGACTATCATGTATGTGTGTGTGTACGGCACATTCATCATTTAAGTGTACTGCCATCGGGGCGTGTGTGAAGTACAATGTACTGTAAGCTCTGAATGCACTGATATTCTACAGTATGCAAATAAAGTTATTTACAAATAGGGTGTTACGAATACGTCCTGTCCAGGGTGACCCTGTGTTCACCCGGTGACAGCTAGCCTGGGCTTAGGCTTCTCACTAGCATCATTTACCCCAGCAGTAGAAGAGAAGTTAATGGCTGAAGGATAAACAAATTTAAGATTCTTAACAAGCTCAGTTTGATTAGAATTAGTCATCGTGATACATGGTATTACATTGAATTGAATTGTATATATAATATTAATTGTCCTGAGCAACTGTTGGGATATTCATGCCAACACTAAAAAGGCTTCGTTCTACGACAAATTGAATATAACTTTGGGAACAAATAGATAGAGCGAACATTTTCCCTATTTTAACCAAAAGTAACTGCGAATACGAGTAGGCTAAAATGACTGTAAATGACTCCGATCAATATTATAAACTCCTTTGTGTACAGCTTTTATTTGTGTTATTTGCCTCTCGACGAGTAAATTTATTTCAGGAAAAGAAATGGAAAGTCATTATTACCTCAGGTTATGGCCACAGCGCTCTGGGTATCAGGGAGGAAATGATGCACCTCATTTCTCCCTATTATTCATTTATCTACAAAAAAACACCTGTGCACTGCTGCCTGTTGGACACTGTGCCAACTATTCTGGAGGCAGAGATGTTTGAAAAGAACCACACCTCACAGGGCAAACACAGCAGAGTGGAACTTTAGACATTCCAATAAACTCACTTCAAATCCCTATAAAATTCATAAATAGGGATAGAAGGAACCAATCTGTTATTAAATATCAAGACTTGTATGTGGCTGTGTGCAGACTCATGACTCATGACCATAGACCAGTGTTCTAAGTATATACCATGGTCAGAAAATGTATTCCAAGATTGATGGACAATCTCTGTCACTGTTCCTTCCTTAATAATATGTATCCAAAGCCTTTCTTGTTAATTATTATATCATTAAGTTTAAAAATCTGTGTATGGTAAATGCACTTAGTCATTTGGATAATTGGCAACACACATAAAAGAAGAGAAAGTAAAAGATGAGTCATTTTGACAACTATTAACTATTGACTATTAATTCAAAGTCATTTCTATTAACGTTATTCACGAGTCTATAAAAGATGAGTCATTTTGACAACTATTGAGTATTAATTCAAAGTCATTTCTATAAACGTTATTCAACGAGTCTTGAACACATTTTGTCAGCAGTTGGATTTAAGTCCAAATGGAGTTCATTAAGGCTTTTTTTTACTGGCTACCACTGGTTGATATCTTTCCACAAACAACATTATAATAGTGAGTCATTAGCAGGTCTTTGTGACCACGAGTTAATTTACTGACACGCTGCAAGTCGCTCTGCAGTGGAACATGATGCCAGATTTCTCTCTCCGGTATCTCGCGCACAAAATGTGACATTTATAAATAATGTGCACTCACATTTTTTTACCAAAACAAGTCAAGTTTTCTCTCTCTTGACATTTTTATGCAAACAACATTTTTAATTAACTGTCACTGTGGTACAAACTTGCCTAAATGGACCAACTAAAACAACAAAGCTGATTTATTGCTGTGTGACATCTTCTGAGGTCCAAACAAGAAATCTCCAGGTGAATACTGTATTAGCCACAAACAGCTACCTGCACAAAAACCATGTCTTAAAATAAAGGTCTGGCTAGAGGGTGGGGGGGCTATAAAGGCTAATTCACTCAAGTCATAGGTCTAAACCAAAGTGCATTTCTTTTATAAATGAACTGCAAAAGCGCAATCACTGACCTTATTAAACGTGTTCTGTGATCCGACACAGGTGAGCACGTGTTAAAGAACACTGTTACTGTTTGTAAACCTCTTTCCCAGAACGTTCAGTCTTGTTAAATTATGTAATAAAATTATTTTGTCTTTGTTTTTTTTGTTTTTTTTAGCCACATACTCTCCTCCAGGTCTCCTGTGTTGCTGTGAGTGGCAGGTTCGTCATCAGCGTCTGATTACCTGCACCTTGGGGTCGTTAACAGCCCAAGCCAAGCCCCTCCCTTTCTCACTCTCATCCAGCAGCTATGATCCATGACAACTGAACTGGACGCCACTCCTTCTGTTTGGATTATTATTCAAAGATCACTTGGAATAATAAAGACTATTTGTCTTTTACCTGACACCCCAGGCTCCTTCCTGTTGTTTACCCATGATGAAGGGTTGTACCACATACATCCAAAGCTCAGTTTGTAAAATAAATGGCAAAATGGAATATTCCGAAAGAACATCCAGGTCTTATTATGATCAAGAAACTGAGAAAAAGACAACTGAACTCATTACATTTAAATAAATAAAAACCATCTTGGGGAACTAAACAGTGATAACATGGATGCACTGCTACTGCTACTGCTACTGCTGCTGCTGCTGCTGCAAGGAAAACGGTTTTAACAAAATAAATGATGATCCACGTATGTCGCTGCCAGGATGCTTGGCTAGGAGGTCTAATAAGTTGGCTTCAGGAGGCCTTGACAACGGCCAGGAAATAATTTCTGACTTCCTTTCTCTGGGAGCATAGTGAGGTCAGCCAATTCATTCTCAGACTGTTTACAGCTTTGATAGTGGTCTAAGATTGAAGATGTAAAACCCCTGAGGCTCAATCCTGAAGCTGGAGCTCAGAATTGGAGAAAAGGTCTGGACCACACTAAAAATAAAATCACCTTGGTTACTATAGTTGGCAGCTTGGACATAACATTAAAATGCTATTTTTAAAGTTATTTTTTTCAGTATACCATAATATATGCGGGGAATCGACTTTATATATCAATAATAATTTTGAACGTGGTTAAAATTCACTCCAACCCCGCTCATATCACAGTGTGGAGTTTGCAGTCAAACGATGCTCAGAGGACTTTGGTAGCAGAATCTCAACTGAGATCTCATCTTCCTCCCACTACTGTCTCAGACCATGTAATTCCATCCATTTGTTTCTCAAACCACTTATTCTAACCTTTCTTCTTTACTGCCTTCATCCTGTTTCTTCATCAGTTCCTGCCTACTTCCTTTTTCAATCACTCTTTCTCCCTGCCCCCTTAAATACTGTATATGCCCCCACAGGCAGTGACAGCCTAAATGTCAGACATCCAACACGTGTACTGCAGTCCTTTTTTTTTCCTGGTCTCATTCTACCTCATCAGTGTAAACCACTGACCAACAAAGACTAATCAGAAATTAGATGACGAAAACTGTAGACACCCTGGCTACAACATTCAGTGGCAAATAAAGACATGTGTAGTGAGTGTGTGATACCAAATTCCCACAGAACACCTTAAACAAGTTGAAACAAAGTCTTAGTGACAGCTCTGCACTTGGCAGGCAGTGCATAGAAGACGCTGTAAAACAAGCACAGAGTGATTTCTCCATTCACTGGTGAAGAAAATAGCAATTTCCTTCTCTCTTAGTCAACGTGAAAATTGGTGGTATCAAATATATGTTGTTGGCCCCTGTCTGGTTCACTGGGTTGAAAAAAAGGACTTGAAAAAACGCTGTCTGTGATTTCAGTAAGGCTTTAAAAGCAAAGGTGAAAGGAAAAGATATGGTATTTTTTTCTAATACTAATACTACTATTTTTATTAGAGCTTTTGTATAATTTAACTGATGTTTTACACAGCACCTTTGCAAACTGTTGTCTGTCTATTTAAAACTAATGGAAATACATTGGTATATACAGTTTAATATTTTAGTAGCACATAACACATTTCACCTTAATGTAGGAGAAGGACTTTATCCTCAGGTCTGCTGGGATTACTGTCAAAATGGCAAAACTTCTGAACTACTATAACAGCCCAAAAGTCCATACCTCAGTAGACTTGTCATATTCAACAAATGCAATTTCTTTTGTTCCACTTTCCTGTATTTCAAACCAGGAACCATCTGTATTTTGATCTTGGTTCTCTCATGGTACATTAATAGCCAAAACCTAATACTGTTGCAACAAGCAGTATAACATAGGGGAGACACTGACCCAATTCAAATGTCTAGACAGAGTGTAGACAAAAATATAGTTCAAACAGTAAAGTTGTATTTGAGGATTTCTTTCTCCTACTGTGTTTTGCCATTGCATGACTTTTAATTTTTTGCATAAGTGGTGCCAATGAATGCAATCAATATTCTGTACATTATAAAAATCAAGGTATGTTCTGTCTGTTCTATATGTATTTGTTCTATATATTTCGTCTGATGTACTCACCAGCAGTGTAGTCATTGTTGAGGTCAATAAATGCATTAGAGTGAGGGATGCGCATTTTGACAGGTGAACTAAGTGCATTCCTCCACACTTGCACCCTAAATAAATAAATTAAAAAAAGTTACAATTTTAATTTATATAAAACTACTACCACAACTAGTACAGAGTCAAGATTAATAAACAAATAAAAAATGGAAGGTTTGTGGAGGAAAAAATTACCTTCTGGTGAGATAGCAGACCTCAGTTATTCCCTGGCTGGTGATTCCAAAAATGTCCGGGATCATGTCTCCGTTGAAACTGTAAGGGTTTTGTCAATTTTAATTAAATCATTTTATTTTTAACTTTGTTTGGGACATTGTAATGTAAAGCTACACTTTATATTCTGTTGCACACCATATGTGAAAACAATTCAGCATGATACTTACTCCATAACTAGAGGTTGATCTGTAAATGTCTTGTTCAAAGTGACCAATCCACTTATATCTGCAGCAAAGAGGGGACAGTCACTGGGTAAATACGTAATGTTACAAATCAAACCATCAAAATATATGACATTGACAAGTGAATGTTAAAGAAAGTTGTACTTTAAAACACAACTACTATATCCTTCTATCTATGTGTGAGAAACTATTGAGGATGACACAGTTATTACTGAATAGGGAAAACACAGTTGCAGTACTAGTTCATTCCACACATATGCTGTACCTAATGTTTGATTGTCACCCCAGACGATGTAAACCGTTGTTGCTGTAGGGCTTGTCTGAGCTGTAAGAAGGACATCCATCTGTGAGTCACCGTCATAGTCTCCAGGCACAACGCTGGTTATTATGGTGTTCCTGGATGCAAAGAAAACTACTGGTAAATATGACTTACTGTAACTCGACGCTCTGTGTCCTACCCTGCTCCTATGTAAACAATTCCCACCCAAACTGCCACCACTACATGCAAGAAAAGGTTTGAGCACTATTAAAGTACAGCAAGTGAAAATATTGCATATTACAATGGGGGTGTTAATGAATGTAACACACTATTTATTAGGATAATTGCACATTAAAAATCGCATGCACAACCCCTACCTTGGCAGAGCGTCTTTTGTAATGTTGACTTTTGGTCTGAAGTAAGGTGCTTGAGAGGTAGCCAAGAAAATCACCAAATGAGACTCTACAAGAATAAAGAGTTAAAAAAACAACAAAATAAATTGGTATCAAATAGAGCTCAAGAAATTGGTATTAAATAATGTTAAATGTCCTGCGTAAATAACTGAAATATTTGGAAAACAATCAATAAATTATCATCTACGCTATTTCTAATTGTCCATATTTTAGCATAATAATCGCAGATATATATATATGCGTAAACGTGAGGATTTCTGTTTATTTTAATTAAGTAAAGTGACGAAATTAATGCTTTTACATACGCTCCCTAATGACGAAGATGTCTGTCTGTTTGTCCGAGTTAAAATCTCCGAACGCTGCCACCGTTCCGTAGTTTTCGGGTCCAAAAAGGTCGGAGGTAACATCCTGAAGAGCAAATGTGTTAAACTGACCTACGAAAATGGATACAAATACCACAATATTAAATTTGAAGGTCCACATTCTGATGCTCGTTCAGCTTCTCATAACAACACCACCCGCAATACGGCACTGCGCTTTACGACAGCCGGAAAATGCAATATTTTTAATCAAATGAACGTATTATGCTACGTTCTCTATTTTAAATCTTTTCATTCATTTATACGACCTCAAACTATGCTAATGTATAAGCATCAAACGGCAAAACATTGCCATTATCTCTTCTTTGTTTTACGTTAGTGTCGTACTCCCAGTATTTGACAGATGACTATTTTATCAAGCAAAAAGATTAAGGGAAAAAGAAGGAAATGTTACAGAAATAAAAGTAAAACTGTAATTACGCAGGAACATAAAAATGAATATGACCTATAAACAATTATCTTTAAAATTATTTGATATGTAGCCACAATTCCTACCAATAAAAAGGGAAGATATTCATTTTAAATGCGGTTTATCGCATTCTATTTTCGGGTCCACGTCACTTGTGTTTTATTTTGAAATAACAAAACGGAAATCCTTAAGTGAGCTGGTAATTCTGTCACTTTTTAAACATGGCGAGTCTGGCAGATGTCGGCTGGAAACTCTTGGAATTTAGAGCCCGATCAAAAAGATCAGGTCTGACATTTTCATTTTGAACGACATCGCGCAGTTAAATATGACTGATCGTTATATTCTTGCCGCAGTGCTTGTACGTTAATATCACACGTATAGGCAACAATGTGCGGGCTTAAATCTCACTTGGATGCAGGCATTTAAGTTGCCCACTGCAAAGGTTCAAACCAGAAAGGTCAGGGGGGCTATTTAAAGAGCCTTTCACCAGGTCTGGTTTGTTAACTGCACTCTGCGCTGCATGAGTTGTGGGTGTTTTTCCCGGGCTGTTTAAGAGCTGCCAAACTGTGTTGTTCTTGCTTAAGTTGCCAGCCTGGCTGATGGTATGCAATTGTAAGGATGAAACCAGACCTACTGTAATATATCAATACACGTAACAGCAACATTACCCCATCCTAATTTTGGGGGAACCTTTGGTGTGCTAATACATCTCTGATGAGTTCATACTGTATAACAATTCAGTATACTATGCTTTAACTATAAATATTTCTGCTGTATCATACATTTTTATGGTTATGACTTAATATTTAAATAAACATCTTCTTTAATCACCATATACTTTTCTAACCAAACATGGTGGCAGCTAAAGTCATTACAATTAAACCTTTCATGATCCTGTTAATATATCTAATGCAATAAAAGTTGATTTTTCATTATTCTCATCTGTTGATTTCACATAACTCATTTTTAATCTTAACAGAGTAAACATATCCTACATTAGTAAACGAATAATCTAGAATTGTATTGTGTTTTTCATTTCGCCAATGATAATCGCCCTTTGGTGTGTAATTATTTATTGATTTACGCATGTCCAATACTTAACTCTGTGCTACTAACTCCTCCCTGTGACTTGCTGTAGATTTGTGATATAGCTGTGAGAGAGGATTGGCCTTAATTTCACCTTTTGAGAATGGCTGGTACACTGACTGCGAATGCTCAGCCTAATCGAAAAGTGCTCAGAATTGGTAAGTAGTGGCGGCAGATCTGGGAAAAGGCAGTGCTGCCATCCACACAGGATGAACCATGAAGCATCTTGTAAAAAATATGTTGTCGTTCGGACAAAAGAAGCATTGTATAATTGAAGTCACACTTTTTTGACACCTTTTAAAACGGATGGAGTTTTGCATATGGAAATATGCAAATAAGTTGAATCATATTATTATATTGTTTATCTTATTATCGTACAATCTCATTCATTGTTATGATAAAATAAATGTAGAGAATAAACTAATTCAATATATGCCTTGATGAAGATTTGTCATGGCATTGTTTAAAAAAAAAATCCAAATGCCATTAATCCAAATTTGTCTCACCTCAACTTTAAGTTGCTCTTTACTTTAAGTGTTATCTTAAAAAAAAAAAGATGGATTAGTTTTGTTCCCTGCAACTTTTAAGCTGATGAATATTATGCTAATTTTAAGCAGAATGTGATTTTCTTTTTAGAACCTGCAATATTGACCCAAGGTCGAACCCATTAAAATGCAAATCTCAGCAAAGAGAAGTGTGTGAAAATAGACAGAGTCTAACAGAAAGGCTTTCCCCTAAACTCATACTCTCTCTCAGCTTGGAGGAAAATGTTAGGATAAATGAATCTGGTGGTGAGTCAGATTCCTGAATATAGTTGGCCTGAATATAGTTTTGTGACGTGTGGAGATTCTTCTTAGAGTGTTGCAGCAAAATAGCAAACATGTAACTCATTTCCCTTTGAAATTGTTGTTTAAATATGTTTTTTATTATTATTGTTATTTATTAGACTTGAAGATGATTTAATGAAAAAGGGTTGTGAATAAATACATGTCCACAAAGTTGGAACACACATTTAATCTTACAATCTCGTTAAATAACCATTTTCTTCTATAATATTAACATTAATATTGTTACAACAACATTAAGAGGATAACATTCATCCTGTCATCCAGTTATTGTGTAGTTTCCAGAATGTGATAACATTCATCCTGTCATCCAGTTATGGTGTAGCAATAGTTTCCAGAATGCTTGATGAAGCAGAGATTTATTTGAACTGTTTTTCTTTTCTAATCTCAAGGTTCCATCTATGAACCTCTGAAACTCTCCAACCTTCAGCGTGAGGATGAGCCCTTATGGGAGAAGCTAGACCGCTACTACAGTGCTGGTAAGTACAAATCCTCATTAGTATTACACACTGATTATTTTAAGAAAAAAGAAAGAAAGGAAGGAAGAAAGAATCACCAATCAAAATATTTCAGTTAATAATACGTCCCATTGTTATTCATCTCTCTCTGTTTCCTTCCTGGCTACACTCAGGCTAATGTCTGGTACTGCAGAGACTGCTGTTATTTTCTTTAATGCAAGTCATCCAAAATTACAGCCTTAGGTTTTGTACAGATGCACAGCAGTGTTTAGACAGATATTGTTTGTCTGGCAAGAGAGAAAAGGAAGACGCAGACGTCTCCCACTTGTTACGGAGACAAAAGTATTAACACTGAACACACCAACAAGTAGAGCTGCACTGAATGCAGCTGGTGTTTCAGTGTAGGAGGCCAGTGAATAATGTTGCTGTGGAGGCTGCTCACTCACTGTGAGAGTGTCTGTGGTGTAAAGTCAGAGACGCTTACAGTGAGTTCACATGCAGTAATTAAGGTTAAAAAAAAACAAAAAAAAAACATTCAAACTATATAACAGGGTTCCTCGGTTTACAGTGTCATTGACCTATGGCGTATCGTGGTTACATCACCATCTCCCATAGGTGTATTAAGAAAGTCTTGTTCTGTCATTTCCGTGTTAGGCACCAAAACTCGTGCTAACTAGTTTGCATGGGAACTGACGAAGTGGACAAATACGTCGTCATTGGCTACATACAGAGAGTGTCTGTGGTGTAAAGTCAGAGACACTTACAGTGAGTTTACGTGCAGTAATTAAGGTTTTAAAAAAAAACATTCAAACTATGTAACGGGTTCCTCGGTTTACCAAAAACCTGCTAACTAGTTTGCACGGGAACTGGCGGAGTGGACGAATACGTCGTCATTGGCTACATACACGCAGAACAGTTACGAGTTCCATCATTAATGGATTGTATTGGCTGTTTGGGAAGTGTGAGTCTACGAAGAAAACAAAGAAACCCAGTAGATGAGTCTGGCCACTAGGTGCCAATGCCAATTATTCCTGGCTTGAGTCCAGTGCTAGTTAACACTGACATCCTTTTGTGGGATGACGTACAACTATTGAATGTCTTATGGTAATGTAAGGACCAATGTAATTAATCAATGTAAAAGTGAGTATATAACTGTTATTAATGCAGACAGATGAATAAACAGTACTTCATAGGTGTTCAAATATGGCCTGTAAGAAAGTTTTGGAAGGACAAAAAACTTGTTCAGTGTTTGCACAGAAGCACTGAGTCCATTCCAGGTGAAGCTCGGAGCTAAGTAATCAATAACAGAGACCGGAGGCTCACTGCAGTGAGATAAATACACATTAGTACTGATGACTGAAATACCAGCAGCTGTGAGCACAGCACTAGATCAGTGAGCACCACCTCCCAGGACGAACAAAGAAACCACACCTTGACGCCACACAGAGAAACATATGGTGTCCTTGATGTTTGACTTCTTTAAGATCACACTCCTCGGGCTTTTAAACAAGAGGAAAACAGATTTTTGCCAAATTAATTCGGAGACTACTGAGTAAAACAGAAAGACTCTGGCGACTGAAGTGCCACCTTTGCTGCTTTAATGACAGTGATGAGGTGAAACTGTTCTTGTCTTTTAATTAGAAATAAAGGAGTCATCAGCGTCTTTAAAATGTTACAGACGCACTGTGTAATTGTATTTGCTGTACAATTAAGTTGACCTTTTTTTCTTGTAGCCTGCTGTGGGTGTATTCCAGCAGTCAGATGTCGTTTTGCTGTGAAGCTATCTTGGGGCTTTGGCGGGTGTTTGCGACCTTGTCCCAAATATCCTGCTGCGATGTCAAATAAAACACACGTTACTGTACAGTACTTCTGACAACGAAGCAGCATGCAGCTGTTGGCAAACATGGATTTCCAACTCCACCATATTGTTGTCTGATTGGTTTGCCACTGTGCTGTTGCACTATGGGTAGTTACCCATACCCTTTAAAACGGCACTCCCTAGTTGTTCAAGGAAACAAAGAGTTTAAAAGAGAATTCCAGTGAAAATGTAATACTATTACTGTATATGTTCTCTATAGAATGACGTAGGTAAAAGAGAAAGAGTATGAAAACATTTCTACGCTAACACCATGATAACGTCATAATCTAGAGCAGGGGTGGCCAACCAGCCAAGAGGCTAAGACACCCAAATTTTTACTCTGTTACCGCAGAGAGTCACATGAGCACATGTGAACTGCCCCATCCCTCATGTTACTGCAGAGCCACATGACCTACATGGGCACACATGAACTGTCCCTTTAAATATCTTGTATTTTTCCTAAGTAATTTGCGTCAACGTCCATCGGCATGAGATTCACGTAGCGTAAAATAAAACACAACCAAAATTTGACATTATGTAAAATTTGAACGTATGAGCTGCACGAAACTGGGCAAAGAGCCGCATGTGTCTCCCGCGCCGCAGGTTGGCCATGCCTGATCTAGGACATAAAAACATCAGAAGAGCCTATGCTTGGGATGAAGCCGTAATGAAGGGCAAAAAAACCAACACAAACGAAAGAAACCAAATGTAGCGATGAAGCCGTAATGAAGGGCAAAAAAAAAACCCAAAACAAACGAAAGAAACCAAATGTAGTGCAATCCAATGTACAACCATCAAATGTAAACAAAGCTGTCGTCTGCGTATAGCTGTTTTTTGTTGTTTTTTTTACCAGCGATGTTTGTTGCCTTATGTAGGGATTTTAAGGGGGGAGTTACTGTGATTCTTAGGGGTCCCTAGTGCCAGGGACTAATTTGATGTCCTGTTTTGTACTCAACATTATAATCAGAATTAGAGTCAAGGTATCTACCTCAGGTGTGAATTGTTTGTATCTGTTCTGGTCTGGATGAAGCGTTTTCTCGCCTGAATGCACCGCTGGCAGACACTGTGATACGGCCCAATGGTCTGCTCTGATGAAGAGAAGGTTTGTGTGCATGATTGTATGTATGTGTGTGTGCGCTCATTAGGGTTGCCTATGTGTGTTTTAGCAAATATTAGAAAACAATAAACAGAGCTCAGTGCGTAACAGGTGTAGCTGTCAGTTGGAGCTGATTTGCTGCTATCAGTGGGCACAGCGTTGCCTCCGGCATCAGCTGCGTTGCAGCCCCGTAGATTTACAGAGAAAAGCCTGTGCCAGATTGCACTGTGTAGAAAACACAACATTGTGGATTGGGTTTGTTTAATTGTTGTGCTGAGTGGCAGTGCGGAGCACTTGACAATTCCAGTGGGGAACAAAGCCAACATTGTTATCACCACAACCCAGACCTGCCTGCCAATATACCTGCTTTCTCTTGGTAGCAGCGAAGAAAAAAAGGGGGTGAAGAGGTGCGAGGTTGGGGTGACAATGACGAATCAAACCAGTTCAATTTTGCCTTCTTTTTTTTTCTTCCTTTGTTGTTTTGTTGCAAAGCCGGCCTCGGCTGAGGTAAAATCTGCTCTGGAGGCTTAGCCTGGTGTTGGCAGGGAGGCTGATTTGTTATATCAAGAAAAGAGTAAAATAAAAAGTACATCTCCATTTCCTCTAGTTTATCACCTCTCTTTTTTTTCCTTCCTTCTGTCAGTTTTATTCTTTATGGCCTTTAGAAAAAGGATTTTTTTTTCTTTATGACATAAAAAACAACTTTTTATTCATGCTGTATGATTTTTATCTTGTGGCGCTTTGGCCCAGAGGCAATGTCTCTGTCATTGGTGTGGAACCCCAGGGTTCACCTCCTGGGCAAGTTAGGGTGGTTGGTGGACTCACCACCCACAGGAAGGTTCAGGGGAGTTGGTACGGTGCAGTGTGATTTGGGTGGAGGTGGTAACAGATAACCGGATGAAAATGGATGGATGGATTTTTATCTTATTTTCCTGTCTTCTGTCAATATCCTGTGGTGCTGTCATTGAGTTATTCTGCAGAAAGTGACCAATTACACCAGGGGGCACCAACAACAACTTTTCTTGACAGGCAAGTCAGAGACTAGACACTTAAAAAAATTAAATATAAATCCCATTTTTGCCTGACATTATTAGTTGATGTTTATTTTGGAATCCAGCCATGGCTACCAGTTGAATTTTCGCTGATTTACACTGATTTATGTGCAGTGTATTAAATAGTGATAACAAGATAAAAATAAGTCACAAAACCCTTGTAGAGTTGTCGGTGCAATGTCACTGTTTAACTGTAGGCGTCAATATAAATATGAGCAGTTATTGTTTTAATTGATTATCTTCACTGATGTGGTAAGGTGTGATTCACTGTCAGTAATTTGATGGATTGAAGAGCGATCTTATCCACAGCAGTTTAAGTTCAGGTCGTGTTTTCGAATTTGTGGGTTGAAAGAAAAAAACGTCAACATGTCAGCGTCTTAATCTGCAATATACATCTCCGTCCATGTTTGTGGAGGAAATACCAAGAAAAGATGAAGTCTTTGAAAAAAAAAAAAAAGTGTTTGCAATTGACACCACAACCCTTCATTTTAAGGGCGACTGCACCACCTGCTGAGCCACGGCAAAATGGGGGGATTATAGTGGAATATAAACGGGCATCTGTGTATTCCCTCTATTTTCTTAAAGCATCTGCTGTAGAACTGCACACACATCATCTCAATCGCTGCTCCTCCTCTTTTTTTTTCTTTTCAATCTATGTGGCTGTATTATTTTTCTCTTCTTCCCATCATCTTCTCTCATTTTGTGCACCCTGTCAGTGCAGTGAAATGGCCCGTTCTAAAAGAGCAGATTGTGTGCGTCTGAGACATTAGCTGCTGATTTAGTGGGACATTAGTTTGATGGATGGTAGAAAACTCCACAACGGTTGATTTGCATCCAAGGGAAATTTTCAAAATGAAAAACATTCAGCACGCTCCTCTTTTCTCTAATAATCACTTTCACTGCACTGTTTTTTTTTTCTAAGATAAGTCTCGATAAAGTCGCACCACGGCGACCCTTCTCTTTATAAACCATAATTCATTAAACTGTTGAAAAATATCTTGGGACAGATGTTTCAGTTTAATAAAGCAGATGATGTATAGGATGCATTGTTGATTGGTGGTCAATGTGTCAGGTTGGTCATGTGATCACCAGGACAAATGAATGAAGTCATTATCTGACACATGGGTTTCCAGTCAAGTTGATAAGAAGGGTGACTTGGCGCGTTTTATATTCTATCATTTAATAAGGCCTTATCCAATGGCTGTGTCCAGTTATTTGTCCTTATTGGGGCAGTGGTGGCTTAGTGGTTAAGGATCCGGCCTTGGGACCGGAAGGCTTCAGGTTTGAGTCCATCAGCAGCTAGTGCTAATGCAGCTAGTTCACTTTCTATTCCTTCCTACACATGGTGACAAATCATATTACTGTGGGAAAGCTGTGTATAAACAGGACCAGGTGACAAATCATATTACTGTGGAAAAGGTCCTGTGTGTAAACAGGACCATGTATAACGTTGTTTCCCAAAGCCTGGGTTGTGACCTTCGGGTGGGTCACAAGAGATTTTATTTGGGTCGTCTCCCATTACGTTTCCCAGGAGTTTACGAATAATGTCTATTGACTTGGCTCGCGAAGGTTTGTGACTTTTAAAATATGGGTCCCCAGAAAAAAAAAAAAAAAAGTGTATCTTCATCCTCACTCCAAAGTAAATCTTTAACCTCAAAATACTTCCTCATCTTTTTGGCTCTTGTCCCCGGACCTCCAACACTGCCCTCAGTCTGGTGAGTCCCTCATCTCGTTCTCCATCCTTCTCTTTCTCCTCTGCACTCTGTAACAAACAACAGCGGTGAATGGATGTCCCCTTCATTTGCACTGACATAATGTTGTGATGAAAAACGAAGCGATCCTTTCAGACAGATTAGTCATCAGCGAGGAGACCTCTGCTGGAGAGGAGGCTGTGCGTGTGCGTGTGTGCGTGCCGACAGTATGGGTTATGCGTGTGAAACAGATAAATGACTTCCCTGGAGGCCTTCTGTTTGAGTATGTCATATTTCACTGTATATTATCGGGGGGCTCGGAGTTGTGGCGTTAAGAGCTCTCCTACATTGTTCCCTCTTCGGTTACTTATGTGGAGTGGGGACCTTTGTGAACTCCGAGCGTCTTAGTTCCTCTTTGTTCGTCCATTTAGTGCAGTCTGACTGCTGTGTAGGCACAACCTCAGCTGAAGGATGTCTCACTCATTTCTATAGAGATGACCTCAGTCATTATCTACTGGACGGCGTCCCAGTGTTGCTGCCTTCACCGCACACGTGACGATGTCGGCAGTGTTGCTGCCTTCACCGCACACGTGATAACGTCGGTGCCGTGAAATACGACCCTAGATTTATTCTGTACGTTCCCTTCGGGTGGAATAGATAATCATCAGGTTAATAGATATCAAGGCAGGAGCCGTTCTTTGAATGCATGGACAGTGTTTCACTGAAGACTGAATTGAAAGTCTGTGTCTGTGAGCTGAGTGGACGTGATCTGATCTGAGGGAGCAGCAGTTGGACTGATATTCAAATTTGAACCTCAGGGTTAAAACACTGCATATTAAACCTCGTTCAAACACAAATGTCATTTTTTCCCCACTGGATACAGAATATGAATACTCCAGGATGAGTTCCTTCCAGGACCTGTCACCATAGATTTGGTCATTAATTTTTAGAGTTTCTTAATTGTGATGGTGGATCTGTTGGTAGATACTCATTGTATTAATATTAAATGACACTCTTTGGATACTTGACAGAGTTGGCCTGATTTCAGTTCAGGACCCCTGACCCTTTGACTTCAGTGGTCCCCAAAATTCCATGTATTTAGGAATGGTGTTGGCTTCATTGCATATGTCCTTTAAAGTTTGAAATTCTTAATGTATAAAAGATATTCCCTAGTCTTCGTGACAAATTAAATTATTTTTAATTAAATTAACATTTATCTATTTCCTATAAAATATCTTAATATAATTCAAAAGCACTTTGTCAGAGAAACTCCAACAGGAAAAGCTAAAAAAAAAAGTTCTTTAAAATGATTTATATTTATTACAAATGACTTATTCATTACAAATTTCATCAAGTGATGTTGCATTTGGTCTTGGGCAACAGAGTATGAGCGCTGTATCTGTATTTTTTTTATTTTTTTTATTTCTGTTTTGATAAAGGGTCAAAGCTCAGAAAAATAACAGGTCTCTCTACAGTATGTGGCAAATCAGTGTAAGAAAAGCCAGGAGTTCCAGACGGAAATGTGAGGTCAGGGTCAGCGGGAGAGAACGGCAGGAGCTGAGATGAGGTTGGGCCGCTGTCTCTTCAGCTGAGGATAAGAATAATTCATCACACTCCACAGAGGTGTGCTCTTTGTCAAATGGAGATGTCTCTAGCTGTTGCCTCACCCTCATGAGAGTCAAAGTTTAATCTAAAAGTAGTGCCGACACACTTTGTCGCGGCGGTGTGTTACACAACTCTGACATGGACAGAAAGTGAGGATAGTGTTGGTTTGAACTTTGTTAGTTACGGATCATAAATCCTCCAATTAACGTCTTCCACCGTGAATAATGTATTATGTCACTGACCTAATGTTGTCAAAAAAAAAAGGTTGTGTTCGACTTCCCAATTCTATTTACAGATCCAATATTCACTTCACTGAGTCACAGTGACATTATTGTGTTTAAAGTGACACAGAAACATTTTCATTCATCAATGTGTGATCAGTGCAACTCAAGGAAAAAATACGTTTTTGTTTCTTCAGGTGAAAATGTGAGAGATCGTTACATCGATATGAATGAACAAAACTTAATTAACCTCCAGGTCTGAACTCTTGACCTTTTGTGTTGTACTGTCAGACTGGAACAAGTCTTAGTGGACCTTTGACCTTTGACATTTCCCCCTGGGACTTAGCTCTTTCGTTGTTAAGTGCTTAGTCTGGATAATTAACATTCTCATGAATTCAGTGCGTCATGTTCAGGGAGTAAATGAGTGAATCGTGATGGTAAATGTCTGACCTCATAACACGTTTGAAATAACTATCTACTGGATACTTGTGCTGGCCTTTGTTGCCTCTTCTTTAATTTCATTTCATTTCAGAGGTTGTTACCTGTTGATATTCTTCAGACTTCAGAATATTCTGCACATGCATAATGAACAAACCAGCAGATGGAGAGGGAGATCAGACAGAAATGAGAGTCTGGAGAGTTATGTGTGATGTTCGTTTTGAGTAAAGAGGTGTCAGTGTGTGTGAAAAAAATCAAAAACATTAATAAAAAAAAAAGAAAAGAAAAGAGGAACCATCTGGGACAACGTTGGTTTCTTAATGTTACTCTTGAGTAATAACTTCTGCTTTTCTCTGTTCCTCTTCCTGTCCAGTCAAGACGACCATCCTGAACTACCAGAGTCCGACCACGGGTCTCTTCCCTGTGAAAACATGCCTGACCTGCAAAGAGGCAAAGGTCCGGGATTCCCTGTACTGTGCTGCTGCCGCCTGGGCTCTAGCTCTGGCGTACAGGTTTGTATATCCAGGAACATCCAGAGACACGACACGATCCACATGACATAATACATAAATATGGATTTATTCCTTAATAAATCCTCTCGCTTTCAAACGTTAGATTGTCTAACTAGAATGATCTGTTTTGTTTTAGTCTTTAAAGTTGCCATATTTAGCTGCTTCCTATTTGACTATAAGGCTGTCAGCTACACACAGTAGTTTTCAACCTCCAGCCTCTAGGTGGCAGTACGGTCTCACTAGGGCATACGTGTCAAACTCAAGGCCCGCGGGCCAAATGTGGCCCACCAAGAATGACCTATTATTTTAAGAAAGAAAGTAAATGGATATGACTGGATTTTCTTCGAATGAAGTAAATTTGTAAAAATTAAGTAAATTTTTTCCACTGTGTCCCACTGTGGCCCGGTACCTGTGGACTGGTACTGGTCCGTGGACCGGAAGTTGGGAACCGGGGGAACTGTATTGCTGATGTGTTGCTGAGTTTGACACCCCTGCTGTAGTGGTTTTGTAACTCCCTCTAACATAAAATGTGAAATTACAGGTAACATATTGAAGTGTTGTTTCTTCTACAAAAAAAAGTAAGTGTGCAGTGGAACAGGAGGAGGGTGTTGTTTCTTCTACAGAGTGTGTGTGTGTGTGTGTGAGAGAGAGAGAGAGAGAGAGAGAGGTTTGGACAGTAAAGTAAGCAGGCGGAGAAATTGGGCAAATAGCGAGATAAGAGGAGGTGAAGAAATGAGATTGAAAGGGAGACAAGGGTAAAAATAGAGAGCACTGCAGTGGTGTGGCCAGCAGCAGCTCCAAGTCATCAGTCACGGCTGTCTTCTATTAGAATTGTCCCTTGGATTTAATTAAGATTATTCTCATCTGACAGGATTGGCTTGTGCCATTACCTCCTCTGAGCTGCTGTGTGACCACATCTGAGTGTGAATGTCAGGGAGCGCGGTGAATGTGTTACAAACTTTTTTTTATTTATTTTCTTTTATTTGAAAAGACACAAAGAGAGAGAGAGAGAGAGGTCTAATCCCCCACCGTCTGTGGTAACAGAGATCCCTTGATTTTTTTTTTTTATCACTTCCTCTTGTTGTAGGTTTAATAGAACACAGAGCAGCTGTCTCACCTTGTGACCCAAACATACACCATTTTTCAAACTCATTTTAATTTAATTAACGGAGCCGGATATTTCATGGTAACCTTTGGTCACCTCGGGTGTTTTACATCGTCAGATCCTGGATAGAGAGGTTAGCTGTAGCTGCAAAGCTGCCTGTGTGATGAATGCACTGTGAAAACAGTTGCCTCCACAGTGGCCCGGCTGTACTTTTGAATGTTTTTAGTTATTAATAGGTTGACCTTTGTACGAAAAGGCTTTGGGGTTTGTCAGCCCCCCCAAAATCAGTGTGTTCAGAGTGTCTCTGCAACAAGTTCTGGGTTTTCCCACGGTCCAGAAACAGACCGCAGATTAAGGATTAGATTCATTATTTGATGGAGAAGTGAAGCCTCCGGGCTGTTCCCCGACTGAGCCTGAAGACTGCTGGGACCCAGCTCTGCATGACTGAATGAACAGGATTAGGTTGTCACTGATGGACTGATGGGTACTCACTTAAGACAGAAGGCCAGGGCGAAGAAGGCAGAATTAAAGATTTATATGTTGTTGTTTTTTTTCAAGACGGACAAGATTAGACATGACCAGCTCAGAAATGTAGATCAAGTTGAGCAGTTTAGAGACAAAGTCAATGAGACAAGATTATGTGGATGGTAGAGACGGTTGCTGCTGTTTGTTGGACCTCGAAGACGATACCTCGCTGTAGTGAAAAGAGAGATATGAAAACGGTTGGTGTAACAGTGGAGGTCCCCTGAAGGCAGAAGAACAGGAATTATTACCTGTACTGCTTAATTATTTATTATTTGTTCACATATTTTAACACCGACAATAACATACGATACCACGACTGTAACAACCACACCATTATTACCATTAGTGTAACTTAGTGAAAAGAGAGATATGAAAACGATTAGTGTAACAGTGGAGGTCCCCTGAGGGCAGAAGAACAGGAATTATTACCTGTACTGCTTAATTATTTATTATTTGTTCTATCTGAGCACCTGATTGCACGTACAAGTGACAGCTACATATATATATACATATATATATATAGACTCTGATCTGTTTTTTATGCTAGAAATTAGTTGTGAATTTGTAAAATAAAGCCAAAAAATTAAAAAAGAAGAAAGTTCCAGGTTTAGGGTTCACAGATTTTTCTATTAGTATTTTGGTTGGTAATTTGCATTTCATTGGTGAGGCGTTCGATCTCCCTGTCACCAGTCACCCACTGTAAAGCTTTATTGCCTGCAAAGTCATCCGATCCTGACAAGAATGTGATGATTCTGGGCAAGAATTATCGTCAGAATATGAATTTACTTGTTTTTGATATATATATATTCACTGCTTGTTTAATATTTTATCTGCTCCTTACTCAGATTGCTTTTTGAAAACTTTTTTTGGAAACTCACACATCTTTGAATAAAATCCATTCTTTCATTTCTTTTGCCTTTTCATTTTCAGACGCATTGACGACGACATGGGTCGAACACATGAGTTGGAGCATTCTGCCATAAAGTGCATGAGGGGGATCCTCTACTGCTACATGAGACAGGCTGATAAGGTGAGTGGTTTTTTTTTTTCGCCAACCTCCGTCAGCTCCTGCTTTCATGCAGCGTGTTTGCATAAAAGCACCTCGAAATGACATGCTGCGTTTCACAGATGAAAGGTACAATATGGAGTTGATATTCATCAGAAACGTTCAGAGCTGCAGCGCCGGACACATCTGCTCTTTCTCTTTCATATCATAACCGACAATGGCAGCCGGTGGCTTTCACTTGTCAGGGCTTAATAACCAGCAATCTGTTAATTGCTGAAGGCTTTTTTTTGTACTGAAAAGGGAAAATTAGCCACCATGCCTGCCAGAAACCTAATGCTCAAGTAGACAGTGATTGAAGGTTTAAAAAAAAAAAAAATTCTATAGGGAGCAATTAAAATGCTGCAGATTTGTTTTGTACCCATTAAGGACCTGATTGGTTTGATTTCAGCTTAACTTAAACTTAAAATTAAACTCTTTTTTTTTTTTTTTTTGGGAAAACGCTAAAATCTGGAATAGGTTTTTTGCATTTTCAAATAACTTGAACGTCAAACCAACCATGTTGGAACAACGGAACATTTTGGCCCTTCATTTATTTATTTATTTTGACACCTCCCGTCACAGCAGAGTGCTGGGACGGCACACACGCACGTATGTTCGTTCACTGTCGTCGTTGTTCGACCTTGACAACCTAATTTAGGCGAGAGCTTTCTGCGTCTTAATTACACGGTTTTTAGTGGAGAGGTGCCGGAGAGGGGCCCTCTGAGGAGCAAGTATCCTTGAGCTAATACGTATCTGCCCCCCCCCTCCCCCCCGCCCCACCCTCCCTGTAATCCTTGAATATCATCACAGTATATCTGGAGCTGAAGTACTGAGCTACCTTCTTGAATTTTAATGAACGAAAAAAATGATGATAAGAACAAAGAAACGTTACAACTGAGGCCGCCAGGTGGAAGATATGATGAGTGGGTTCAATCTCTGGTTAGTGGGTTTTATTTCTCCACCAACTCCAGTCTCAGCCTGAAGTCCAACAACATGCAGGACTGTGTTGTTTAACCCATACCCCAAACAGTGTGCCCCTGACAATGCCCAGCCAGTAGAGATGGTTGAATGAATGAATATTACATTTTGATGTGTTTAAATTCCAACTATTGGTGTAAAAAACTACAGTAGTACACAAAAAAATGTTCCTAACGTCTACAAGTAATATTACCATCTTTGTAAAAAGAATCTTTAGCAAAGACTAGCTCGATTCTTGATATCTTATAAACCAGTGGTTCTCAAACTGTGGTACACGTACTACCAATGGTACACGAGCGCTCTCTAGTTGTACATGGGGAAAATTCATATTTTCACATTTACATTTTTAATTGAATAAATCTGAAACATACATATGCACAATTATTATAACATTTAAATATAAACACCTTTATAAACATTTCTAAACATCTCTCCTCATTGGTGGAAGCTAACAGTGAAGGCCTACGCTGCTATATTCTACTGTTGGTCATCATGGTGGGACTCAGAGAGATCAGTGTTTTCTCAGGTGGTACAGGAGGATAAAAAGTTTCAGAACCACTGTCCTATGGGAATCAAAGACCCCACAGTCAGCTGCAGTACCCGTGAGAGATCAGTGTTTTCTGCATGCCTCTCAACCCTCTACCTCCCCCCCTCAGTCACTCACACACATACAGTACACACACACACGCAGTGATCCGCTGTGGGACGACAGGAAGTGGAGCAGTTTCTGTAAAAATGGGACAGAGGGTGTCCACCATGACCGAGTCGGAGCGAAACCTGAGAGTGAAGACAAGAGGTTAACGAAAATAGCATCGCTGGAAAGAAAAAAAAAAAGAAAGAAAAGAAAAGAAAACAGAGTTGTTTTAAGAAATAGAGCAAGAGGTAAGGGACGGCGCCGATAAAGGAGGTTTGAATAATCTAAAGTACAATGAGCCGAGAGGAGACGTATTAGAGACAGGAATAGGAGGTACGGAGAATAATGGAGACGGCGACGGGGGATTTGACGATGGATGGAGTCGTAAGAGAGGTGGGGGGGGAGAAACAAATGAGGTAAAAATGGGACAAAGAGCCAATTATTTATAACTTGACGGGACTGGAGGCCTCCCTGTGATGTGGTGTGTAGTCGGTGTAGTGCAAAAAACACACACAGGCACCAGTGTTTATCCACAACACGGAAAAAATAGCTGACAAACGGTTGTTACGAAGGCGGTCACTTTTTACGAATGTACCTTAAAAACCAAACATCTTTAAGAATATTCCACCTTAACCACAGAGTCCTGCATATGAGCCTTTAATTATTTAATGGCAAATCATTTCCGTTGCCAGGGAGATTTGTGAAAATCTGAGGTCAAGCAGCACCTTAACGCCCACGGCTGCTGCCTGACACACTGATCTGATCTGAGGTAATTTACCTCAACCTCAGTTTTTATATTTTACATTTTGTTTTTGTTTGAATGCATGTTTTGCTCACAGATAACATAATGTAACGCCCCCGGTGGTTTATTTACACTTTTTCCACGTAAGTAAGGTCATACTGTGGGTCTCGGTGGTTTGTTTAGAATAATTGTTTTTACAGAAGCTCTTAATTAATATGTGTAAGTAAATAATTAAATATACGAACAGTAATTATTTAATGGACAGAACGTGCTGCCGTGTGTATGGTGTGCTGTAGTTTATAGTTTTAGTTCAGGGAGTTGTACACGATTAGATTCAGCACCTGTTTTCTTGTAAACAAATATGCGACATCAGGTAAAGAAGTGGGATTTCGCTGCTTGGAATGGATTTAAGTTGAGAGAAACAGCAGTGGAGTGAGAAGAATGAATGTGTAAAACTTGTACAAATAAAGTATGGAGGTGAGATGAAGTGACATCTGCTCATTCTGATCTTGTAATTCTGTTTCGTCGTTCTTCATGCACTCATCTTTTCTCATGTTTTCTGACCCGCCACCAGGTGGAGCAGTTTAAGCAGGACCCCAGCCCCTCCAAGTGTCTGCACTCAGAGTTTGACGTGAACACTGGTGACGAGGTTCACTCCTACAACGACTACCACCACCTGCAGGTCAGCTGTGGAACACTCACGTCACACATGGTTTTCCAAAGCAGTTTCCCAAACTTTTTTTTCTGGACACATATTATAAAAGTCACAAACCTTCATGACCCAAGTCAATAGACGTTATTCATAATCTCCTGGGAAACATGATACGAGACGACCCCAAAAAAAACAACCTGCGACCCACCTGAGGGCCACGACCCAGTGTTTGGGAAAAAATGCTCCAAAGTACACACAGATGTACCTGTTAGATTACAATACAGGAGACACTACATGTGAAAGCACAGGTTCAGTCAGTTATACTGGGCAAGGGTGAGTCAAAAAGTTCTAAGACATATGTTATAAATTCAAAGGTTGTCCCATTTTTCTAGCTAATAAATCAGTAAAAAAAAAGTCTTTATAGGTCAGTGTTCCTTTACAGTTTTCCTTTAAATGTTTAACCTGCAGCATCACTTTCTAATACATCACAAATACATTTTTAAATCCATCTTCTCCTTCACATGATCCAGTCTTAAAGTGACTTGTCCCTGGAGGTAAACGTCCATTTTACTGGCTCTAAAAGATGTAATCTTCCGTCAGTGTCATCAATTTGGAGTGTAATGATTTGAGTTGCCATTAAATCCAGAAATGAAGACACTGAGAGTAAAACCATGAGGTGAGTGGCCTGTGGGGAAAAGGTAAAAAGTCCTCCCAGCGCTGTAAATCTTAATCACATTCTTCCTACTCATTTACTGATCAGTGCAATCCATAATGTACTATTGCTGTCAGATTATAGTGTTGTTGAAGTCCAACTCAGATGCTGCACCTATTGTATGGAGAAAGCCACAGTTGTCGACAGTCGTGCAGGAGTCAGGCTTTCTCCGATGGTAATACTTCCAATCTCTTCTCTCCCTCTTTACTGCTGCAGATCGATGCCGTGTCTCTCTTTCTGCTTTACCTGGTGGAGATGATTTGCTCCGGTCTGCAGATAATTTACAACACTGATGAGGTAAACACGACTCCAAAATGATTGTAGAGCTGATCGATTCCAGACACAAAGCATTAAGACCCTGACTGTTGGTCTGTCCGTCGGCATTATTACTATTTTCTTTTCTTTTCTGAGCACCAGCCATGTTTGTTATAATCACTGCCATTGTGTTTAAAGATGATACGAGTCGTAGTCATGACTACAGCAATAGCAGTGTTGTCCTAATGTCTGTCATTTGTGTTTATGACAACTGTCTTATATATATATATTTATATATATAAAACCATAGATTATCAAGTAAAAAAAAATAGAGTTTAGCTTTTTTATTGGACATTTATACAGCAATATCAAAGGACTATTTTCTATTTTATTGAACATTGAATTATATGTATGTATAAGATCAGGTCAACCATGTGATATTACTCATATACATATGTATTGCAGGCGTATTTTAGAGTAAAGATATATAAACTCAAAGGCAGGGCTAGTACTTATTAGCCCTGGAACAAGTAAATTAATAAACAAATAAAGTAAAAAGAAAGTCAACTGAAGAGTACAGCAGTTTTTTACACTTTTTACAGACATTATATTCACAAATGAGAAGATGTAAAAAAAATATATCAGTCCTCAGAACCTAACAGGCTGCAGGGTGGACCAGCGAACTTGCTGTTATCCAAAATTAATTCTTGTTTTTGGTAAATCAAATATCAAAATATTGTGTGATTGTTTTTGAACCCTCTGGAAGAATTCTGTTGAATTTGACACAACGTTCCCTTTAAAAAAAAAAAAAAAATCACACCAGTAAGTAAATCTTTGTTGTATCTCTGTCTCTTCATCAGTCAGGATAAAAAGTTTCACTGAAATTCCTCAACAGTTTCATGTGACATTTCAAACACTAGAAGCTCAACTGATCTCCATCTGTTGAGAACCAGGTTTCAGGTAGTTTTATATTTTTCGTTGCAGTGGAAGTTGTTGCTCGAGACTTTTTTCTTTTTTTTTCTATAGCGACAGTGTAAATATCATCCCTGCTAAATGTCAGCTGTGCCACTGCTGCGTCTGTCACTCCCCGGGATCATTATTCAGGAATGTTGTCTCTGCAGTTAAAAGCCTGTTCCATTCAGTAATGTCGTCTCAGACCTGACTAAGTTGTGTTGCTACATGGGTCATAAATGCCATTCGTTTTTATCCCTTTTTCTCACTGCAACCAAACTGTGGACCCTCTGAAACGTATAAACCACAGCTGTAAACTAGAACCAGCCAGATTGTTACAGCCCGAGTCCCTGCAGAGAGTCTGGACCAGCGGACACTTTGTCTTTTTTAGCACTCGTTACATTTATATTATTTTCCCAGATTCGCAAATTGGTTTAAACAGTTGATGATTTTATGGTCCATCAGGAAATCCATCGTACGCAGATTATTGGCAGCTAAATGACACCGACGCCATTCACCACGGTGCTGGTGTGAATGGTGCAGTTTTGATCTGTGTGGTGTGAAATTTTGTATTTTCTGTTTAATTATTTAAATAAACCAACAAGACGACGCAGCTGTCGGGCTGTGTTTCACTGAACCTTTAGATGAAGTTGGAACCTCATTAACTCCGACAAGTCTTTATGGGTCGGATCACAGATTCACTGACTGTAAGAGAGAGAGAGAGACCAAGTGTCGGCTGGTCAGTCTGGTGGATCAGTGGCATTGACCTCCGTTGCAGTTATTGATCGGTCGCAGGTCACAGCCGTCGTCCGATGAACTCATTTCTTGCTCATAATTGTGTGAATCGCATTCACCAAACATAGTTTGTCTCCGATGTCTTTTCAAACTACACGTCTATAGCGCCCCCCGTCTTCTGATGCAGGTGAATTACAGACGTCCGATATCAGAACTAGTGGTTTATTTTCTCACTGAACCTTGTTTTAAATAAATATAATTTTGGTTACAGTTAAACTGTAACGGCGTGATTAATTGGTCTGTAGTTGCTCTTCCACCCGTGTTCAACTGACTGCCCTGGAAGCTGCATTGCAGTGTTTTTTTTTTCTCCTCTTCCAAGAGCTGTTGAAGAAAAGCAGCAGCTTGTCCTTTCAGTAGACGCTCTATCGACCCTCCTTCCACATGCCATTTTCAGTTTCATTCAGCATGAAATGAAGCCTCTCATTAGCCTGTATGAATTGGAGACTCTCTCTCTCTGTCTCTCTCTCTCTCTGTGGTTTGTTTTTCTTCTTTTCCCTCCATATAATGAATTTATTTGCAGTCAAAAGATCGTATTTAGGGACAGTCGTCTGGCAGCGTCCGCAGGAAGAGTAGCACGTTTGGCTAGTGGGCAGTAACATTCATTAAGATACCATTCCCCCCCCCCCCCCCCCCCTCCTGCTCTCCATCTTAGACTGGCCTAGTTATGTCCACGCAGGTTCTATCTGCATCTCTCTATCTCTCTCTATCTCTCTCTCTCTCTTCTCTTTTTACCGTACCGTCATTTTAGATTAAATCATTCTGTCACACACTCTCTCTCTCTCTCACACACACACACACACACACGTGGCTACTTTTAATTAGTTCAGTGATTAAATGCCTTTAAGTCATAACAAATTTTACACTTTTTTTTTATGTCGCCGTTTTTAAACGTGCCTGTTGCTCTTGAAACGACTCCTTCACTGATCGTGTTTGTAGCGCCACCCGACTAATGGTTCTGCCATTGTCCTCAATTGGCCTGAATGCACCATAAACGTTATAAGGCCGCTGTTTGTCAAGGGCACGGATGATGAGCCGTCGACCGCGTAATGAACGGTTGAGTCGAGCGTCAATTAAAGTCTTGTTAATCTAACGAGAGTTTGATTAATGTTGTTAATCTGACGATTGTGATACGTGTCCGTGTGAGTTCTGACAGGACAGTGAAATAGGGTTTAATATGATTATGATCTGTCTGTGAAGTATGTGTTCTGTGTATAACTGACATTCCTCTTCAATGTGCTGCACATGTCATTCCTGTCGCAGGTTTCTTTCATCCAGAACCTGGTCTTCTGTGTGGAGCGGGCCTACAGGGTGCCTGACTACGGCATGTGGGAGAGAGGCAGCAAATACAACAATGGCAGCACCGAGCTGCATTCCAGGTCAGTGCATTATTGTAAAGGCAAACGAAGGCAGAAAAAATGTCCTCCAATTTCCGGCCATACTTATATCACCTGTAACAACTGGACTATTCCGGCCATACTTATATCACCTGTAACTGAACTGCACACGTGTTTGAAAACTAAAGTTTGATAAAAAAAAAAAACTAGAAAAAAACTTTCAGTTACTGCTGGAAAGTATCAATATGACTGAAATCTGAAGGGACCAAACAGACACAGGGGATCAAATGACATCATATTGACATCCAGTTATGGGCCACATGTTTGATACCAATACGATACTGCAACTTGGAGTATCTGTTGATACTGATTTCAATCTGACACCTTGTTTTCCTTGAAGAAAACCTTGAACGAAAACTGTCAGTGTTTACAACAAAGTTAAGTTGAGCTTAAATTTCAGATCAGTCAGGCTAAAGTTTAAACTGTCAGTGTTTACAACAAAGTTAATTTGAGTTTAACTTTCAGATCAGTCAGGCTAGTTTTTGGGTTTTTTTTCAATTTTCAATCCTGAAATTTTGACCGATTTCAGACTGATACTGACCCTGAGTATCGGATCGAGCCATCCCTACCACGTATGGACATGTCAAAGGTCAAAGGTGGCCCACGGGCCAGATGTTTGTGGCCCGAGGTCAAGACTAGGTTTTTTTTGTTGAAAAAAACTTTATCCTGTACTTCTTACTTCCGAGTACTGTTCTATAAGTTCGTACTTCACCAGATTTTTTTTTTCCATGCCTAAATGATTTTCATGCTGAAGTGATTTTTTATTCTACCAGGGCTGTGGCTCCAACAGGAGAACCTAATAGTACAACTCTTAACTGCCTTTTGCCTTTTAGAGTTAACCGTCTCGGTGATGCAGTAAATTTTAAAGTAAATGTTTTCATGGCTGCTCCTTCGGTCTGCGTGTGTGCTTGTGTGATAACAGGGGGCTCTTAAAATAAACAGAGCAGCCAGTGCCAGAAGCAACATGGGAAAGATGAGTGTTAAATGTGTCTCTGCTGATACACAAAATGTGTGAATGGATTGTAATATAACAGTTTGTACATGTGGGAATAGAGGCCGTGATAATTGAAAGAATGATATAAAAGCAGCACCAGAGCAATACACATTCACAGATATAAAAAGATATAAATGTATTGTATATATGTATACTGTACATATATAAATATATAATATTCTGTATATATAATATATATAAATATATATGACTTATATATGGTCAAGACTATATACATATATATATAAATATATATGTATGTACTGTATATATATTGTATGTATATGTATATATGTATATATATGCATATATGTATATATACAGTATGTATATATATATATATTTATAGTAAGTTTTAATCACAGGGTGGCTGTTTAATTATGACATTTTGACAGCCGAAATTTAAATATAAATTAATATATTTATAAGTTTAATAATATGTTTAATTTATATTTATATAAAACATATAAATATTAAAATAATTTACACTGCATATTAGTTACCTTAAATCTGTCAATTCAATTGATAATGAAAAAAGTTTTTTGTGCAGCATTCGTTCTTTGGCTCATTGGTTCATCCACTCATGTTCATATTTTATACTAACCACCAACATTCAGTAGACACCAATATATTTTGTTAATTTTATAATAAACCTCCACTGCTCTTTTTCTTCTTTTTTTTTTAGTGCTTATAGTCTGGTTGCCTTTTTTTTTCCCTTAACTGTGTTTTAATTGGTAAAAATTACTAAATAAGTATTTGATTAAAACCAAAAATAATGTCATTTTCAACTTTAAGATGTTTTTGTATTGTTTAATAAAATTTCCCTTCCACGTTTAAAGATGACCTTGGGTCCTCGACCAATCACAGATGGTTGAAGAGAAGTGTCAACATACACTTCAGTCTCAGACTGGCGCCCAATTAACCCACATCATCTGTGGAATATCATGAACCCACTGATCTAACAGCGAACACAGCTGACAGTTTTGTTACGTTAAAAGATTTATTTTCATAGTCACAAAATAATATTTTCGCAATCTCCAGTCTGAGCTCATAAACAAAAACAGTCTACGGCAACATTTTCATCATGTGAGTCTCAACCTCCAACTGTCAGCTGAAACCGTTGCGTCACGCTGCTGTTTTGCTTGTTTTACCCTCGGTGCTGCTTTTCAGAAGAATATATTTCCCCTGTTTCCTCAGCACTCCTCATATCTGTCTTCATCTCTGTGTGAGATTTGGTCAGCCTGTCTGACCACTGACCCCTGCTTCTCTTTCAGCGGCGTGTTTGTCTTTATACAAAGCTGGATTCAGCCGAGCTCCTCCAGCCATCAACCCTATTCTGAGCATCGACTCACACTTAGCTGTAATGGTTCTGAATTCATTCTGTAGTGTCAGCAGGTCCGCTGCCAGTCACTGACAGGTTTCCTGCAGAGTTTTTTTTTTCTTTCTTTAACCTCAGGAAATCTTGGCAGGGTAAAAAGTGAAATGAAATGACAGGGAAATTGAATCAAATTTAGTGTGCCTTGCAATCAGAACACCCAGCAGGTGTAGAATCCAATATTTTTAAAAAGAGGTTCATTTTCCTCAGAGGACCACCATTCATGAGCCGAGTTTGATTCCTTACACATATGCAGCTAACTATTTTCATTGAATTGAGTTTGACAAAGAACTTTTTTTTGCTGCAGTCTCTCACAGTGCCATATTGGTTGTCACTCCAACAAAATGATGAAATTCTAATCCTGATTAATTCTCCTTTTGTTCCTCGTCTCTGCAGCTCTGTGGGTCTGGCTAAAGCTGCTCTGGAGGCCATCAATGGGTTCAACCTGTTTGGAAACCAGGTATTTCAAAACAGTCTTTCCCAAACCTTTTTTTTCCGGGGACCCATATTTGAAAAGTCACAAACCTTCACGACCCAAGTCAATAAACATTACTAGTAAAATCCTGGGAAAAATGACGTGAGACGACCCCCCCCCCCCCCCAAATAAACAAAAAAAAACTCTAGTGACCCATTTGAGGGTCGCGACCCAGTCTTTGGGAAACCATGTGGAGCCATGTTCTTTACATTTTGAACCTGATTTGTGTGCATTAATTCACGTAGTTTTATTTTTTGTATGAACGACAGGAAAAATTGTAATGTTTTTCCAGTGGTTTAGAAAGTGAAGTTTTCTCTGCTATTTCCTACTTTAAAGTCGTGCGTTTTTCTACTGTGCTCCTTCAGCCGTCCAGCGCCACGCGAGCGTAGATGGTTATTTATCTCCTCATGTGGCGCTGCAAGGACGAGTGTATATTAGAGCGGCTGTTGGTGGTTCTCTTTTTGAACAGCTGCAACATAAAGAGGTTCAACTGTGCCAGAAAATATGTTCTGTTATTGAGCTCAGCATTTTGAAAGAGTCAATTTGTACAGGACGCAGGGATATGATTTTTAACATTTGGGCCTCTGCAGGTAGGTGTGTGTTTTGGTGTCTGTGTGTGTGTGTGTGTGTGTGTGTGTGTCAGTGTAAGTCATGCTCCTCTTTTACCCTCTGGGAGTAGAACATCTACAAGCCACTCAGGTAGATATAAATGAATTCTCTGGATCTTGATTTCCCCACAGACTCTCGTCCCCCCAGCAACAAACCACCACCACGATTCCTCAACCTTCTCTCTTAACTGGAACATTTAGTACATTATTAACTTTGCAGTTTCATTTTACCCCAGCAGTAAAGATTCCTAGTTTATGTCTGAGACCTATTTGTGTTTAACGAACCTTCATCCAGACGTTGGTCTTTTGTTTGTTTTGTTTTTTTTTTCATGATCCTCCACAGTGTCCTCCACCAACAGCAGTAATGACATCATTGTGCTGTAACTAATTAGTTGCTGGTTGATAAATTTACGGTGTGCTTTTACAGTCCAACAGCTTCAACTGTCGGTCTGGAGTTTTATATCTTTACCTTATCGATAGACAGTAAACCAGTGGAACAGAAAAACTCAAACTGTACATTTTTAACTTCATATCTGCCTTTAACCGATATTGTCCAAACACATCATTTCCGACTCCGATATCAGCCGATACCGATATAGGCCTGGTAGTAATTATTTATGTATTTTTTCATCTGTACCATCACTCTGCACACAATCCTCCATGTTATTAAAATTGATTAATTAAATGAGCTGCAATGCTGCCATCTAGTGACTGTCACTTTCATATACAGCCGTTTATCCCCCAAAACTTTTTGTTTAGAGCACACGCCATTTGACGAAACCCAGGCATTGCGTTATCAGATTTTATTATCATTAAAAAATGATAACAATTCTCACAGATATTACTTAATTATGCTAATATTGGACAATAATATCGGAAATCCCTAAATATGTATATTTATATTTATATATGTTTATATGTATACATTTACACACACACATATATATGCGTTTGATCAAAAATGACCCACATTTTTATGAATATAACAACATGAATAAACGGACATTAAAAACAAAAACATCTTCGGCCATTTTCTTTTCTTTTCTAATTTCCTTAATTAGCTGTAGAGTGACCGATGTGCAGGTTCACTGTGTGGAGCTGGACCGTCGTGGCCGTCTGCAGTTTGAACTGTGCTCAGTGCACGGTTCATCAGTGTCACTGAAGGTGTCTTGTGCGTGTGCTGTGTTTTGCAGGGCTGCTCGTGGTCAGTGATATTTGTGGACTTGGACGCCCACAACAGGAACCGACAAACTCTGTGCTCCCTGCTGCCCAGAGAGTCCCGCTCCCACGTGAGTTCTTCTTCTGTCTGTCCGTCAGTCCGTGCACCAGTCAAAGATATGAGACGAAATATGACCAATGAAAGTGTACGATGAAAACAACAGCTGGAGTTCAGTGCATCTGATGGATGATGTTAGTAACGATGATGAATTTCCTGATTAAGACATGAATAACGATGATGATAGAAAGGATGACATTATGTTAATTAATTGTTACGAGTTTTATACCTCCTTTGATTTTCATTCATTTGAACTGCGTTCTCTCTTTACCTCAATACTGGTTTCACCTTAGTGGCTCAGCAGTAAA